CCACAATTAAAGGAGGACTGATCTGAAACCTGGGGGATACCCCATCAGCTATTGGACATGCCTGTACCAGTCAAGTGAATCTTGATACAGGACAGTTGACAAAATCTCAGAGCTAAGAAAGTAAAAACTAAATCCACTAACAATACCCTCAACCCCAAGCTTTTATTAAATAGTAGAATGGAATATTGAGCCATCAAGCTAGCATAGATGGAAAGACAAATCAATCTCACATTAAAAAGAACAAAGAAGACATATCAGAGAAAATAGAGGTCTGGGCAGAGCTGTTCATGCTAAACACAAGTAGGATAGGAAGAAATGCCATGACAGTTGTGTAATAATTTTACAGGAACATATATAAAGGAAAGCTATAGAGTATGCAAAAGACAAAAATTCCACCTGAATGCTCTTGAGATAGAACTTAAGAAAGAAATTAATTCAGTGAAACAAGAGCTAAAAGACAACTTGACAAAATATCAAAATTAGATGTAAAGCACAGAAACCAAAGAAAGAAAGTCAAGACTAAAAACACCATTTCTTGTGATGTAAATTAGAAACTGCAAGGAAAAGACTACACACAATTTTAAACTAAATTATGAACAGAGCAGAGGGGCTATTCATAGTGAATGCAAAGAATGAGACAAACACAAAGTAGATACTAATAACAAAAACCAACCTAAAGGTTACTGTGTCCCCAAGGCAAATAACCCAACAAATAGACACAAAAATACTTTCAAATATGATAATAAAGAGTCTGACTCCATTTTTGATGTTTGCTGGCAGATTTCAAGCCCCACCACTCCCTCTTCACCTTCTGCCCCACATCTGGGCAAAGTGTTAAAGAAGCCCAGCTGTTTCCTTCTCTGGCACTGATGGCAAATTCAAACCACATAAGCCCATGACTGCATCAGGGAACCCTCATCCTGGCCCGCACCCCAACCACCATAAAGCCCCAGGCCAGTTGACCTTCCCTGCTGTCTTAAGCCATTTTTGGTTTTGCTTGAGAGTCTGCTCTGCTCTCCCCAGAAAACCTCATTATGTAAGTAATAAATCTTGTTACATACCTCCCTGCTGCATGAATGGCATCATCAGTCTAGACACCTGTATCAGACTGTTTTCACACTGCTGATAAAGACATACCCAAGACTGGGCAATTTACAAAAGAAGGAGGTTTAATGGACTCATAGTTCCACGTGGCTGGGGAGGCCTCACAATCATGGCAGAAGGCAGAAGGCAAAAGTCGTGTCTCACGTGGCAGCAGACAAGAATGAGCCAAGTGAAAGTGGTTTCCCCTTATAAAACCATCAGATCTCATGAGACTTATTCACTACCCCAAGAACAGTATGGGGGAACCGCCCCCATGATTTAATTATCTCCCACTGGGTCCCTCCCACAACACGAGGGATTTATGGGAGCTACAATTCAAGGTGAGACTTGGGTGGGGACACAGCCAAACCACATCAACACCTAACCAAATTTAGGGTACAAAATCCATTTTGCCTCTGTAGGATGATCAAAACAAATTAATAGAAGATGATTTCTCTGCAATGTTAGAAAAACTGAATATACAGTCAAATGAAAGAGCAAATTATTTTTTGGAAAAACTGATAGAATATGATGATTCTGGGACAGATTCTGGTAAAATTATCAAATTCCAAGGATAAAGAAAAATTTCTTCAAGCGGCGTGGTGAAAAAAAGCATGCCACTTACAAGAGTAAAATAATCAACAACTTTCAGACTTCTTCATAGCAATGTCTACAAAGTGTTGAGAAAAGTGTATCATGTCCTGCCAACATGCTATTCAATATTAAAGCAAAAGTCAGATCTTACTAAATATTATTGCATTCATAGTTTTCATGGGCTCTTTTTATAAAAACTAATAGTTGAGAACAAGCCAACCAAGAGATTAATGAAAATAAAGAACTCAGGAGCAGAGATGCTGTGACATGTAGTGAACATTAAATCCATATAAAACTAAAATGTAGTTAATTTATGAAGTTAAGTAGAAATGTTGTAATGTTTGATAATATGGAATCAACATATAGCTTAGAGAACTAATTTTTAAATGGACAAAATTGGGTGGAATAAAGTTTTAAGAGTACTTATTTCTTTATCTTTCAAAGCAAATGCTATGAATCAAACATTCTCTTAAAGAAATACAACAGTACCCCATAAATATCTATACCTACTATGTCCCAACAAAATTTTAAAAAATTAAAATGAAATACATTATTTAAAAAATGAATTGATCATAACTTCTTAAAATGTTTCCATAATCTTTTTTTTTTTCTGCTGCAGCCCCGACACAGCGAGAGCTGAAGGCAGGGTGGAGGCATTGGCCTCTCACCGTGGGGAAGCGCACAGGGGAGGAAGGATCCTTTTCTAGCCAGCGGGAACTGAGACACACAACACCTGGAAAAATCAGGGGTAACTCCACCCCAAATACTGCTTTAAGCGGAATCAGCACCCAGGAGATCATAATCCACACACCTGGCCGGGAGGTCCCACACCCACCGGAGCCTCCCTATTGCTAGCACAGCAGTCCTTGATCTACCAGGAAGACAGGCAGCAGTGACGACTGGGGGAGGGGCGCCCGCCATTGGCCTGAGGCTTAAGTAGGCAACAAAGCCTGCTGGAACTCCGAATGGGTGGAGCTCACAGCAGCTCAAGGAAACCTGCCTGTCTCTGTAGACCCCACCTCCTGGGGACAGGGCACAGATAAGCAACACAAAGCAGAGAATCCTCTGCAGACGCAAAGTGGAAGCTTGTTCTGGACAGCTTTGTAAGAGAGCCAGTGGATCTCCCAACACCGGAGGTTGAGATCTGAGAAGGGACAGACTGGCCTGCTAAGTGGGTCCCTGACCCCAGAGTAGCCCTAACTGGAAGATCCTCCCACTAGGGGGCGTCTGACCACCCCACCACGTCACAGGGTGGGAGTACACCCCCTGAGAGGAAGCCTCAAACGCAAGATATCAGACCAGGTAGCACTCGCGTTCCAGATATTCTTATCTTGCTGCAGCCTCTGCTCGCTGACACCCCAGGCAAAACAGGGTCTGGAGTGGACGCTCAAGCATCTCACAGCACCTACAGCTGAGGGTCCTGACTGTTAGGAAGAAAAACTATCAACGCAGGAAGGACACCGTACACCCAAAACCCCATCAGTACGTCACCATCATCAAGGTAGACAGAGGCAGTAAAAACCACAAAGAATGGGGAAAAAGGCAGGCAGAAAGCTGGAAAATTCAAAATAAGAGCGCACCCTCCCCGGCAAAGGGAGCCACAGCTCATCGCGCAGCAACGGATCAAAAGCTGGACGTGGAGAATAGACTTTGACGAGATGAGAGAAGAAGGCTTCAGTCCCCCATCAACTTCTCCAGAGCTAAGAGGAATTCGTACCCAGCACAAAAGAAACTAAAAAATCTTG